TAACTGTTCAGGAATTCAGAGCTAGCCCAGGTACTATCACCGAGCTTAGAGTGCTTCAGTGGTTCTTTGCTGCCCACCAGACGAAGCCCACACTCTTCAGCAAGGGCTGTCAACAACTGCCTGGCAACCTTTGCAACCTTCCACCAAGCAGCTCTCACCCACCTCACTGTAGACATGGTCTCAGCCAGGCCTGCACTGCTACCAAAAGCCCTCCCTGGTCTCTCGTCTTGGCATGCAGGCTTCTCCGTCCTGCTACAGGGCATGGTTCACGTGTCAAGTCTCTCTGGGAGGCTAGTGGGCAGGCTATTTCAGTTCCATCCTAAACCCCAGCCATGTGTACGTGAGAGGTGGCTGATGACTATCACTAACTCCATGCCTTCTCCCTCTGGAATTCCACTTCCACATCTATGAAGAAGAAATCTAGGCTACACTGGGATGGCAAATAAACAGGGTCAACATGTACTTCCATTACATGTCCACCCATGGCAGACATGGCCAATCAGCACCTGTTGAGCCTGGACATAGCTTCAGAATCATTCTCAACACAGTGTTCCTAGCAGCGACCACTAGTCAAGCCCAACCTGCATCTGAATGGAAATCTGTTACTTTTGAGAGAAAATGGCCATTGTTGCTTTCTTTCCTTCCGTTAGACACTTAGACCTGTATCTATACTTGGACTTCTAAATGCTATCGAAGACCAGCAGCTTGGGAACTGGGAATCCTGGGATTAGACTCCCATTATAGTTCTGGCTTGATAATTTTGGGGAAGGTCATTCACCTTTCCAAGTCTCACTTTCCCAATCAGTCTTGCCTCCTCTGCACAAACACTGTGATCAAAATGAAAACTAGCTGCACGTTTTAAAGCTACATAACTAAAAACAATTATTGGAATTTAAAAGCAAAACAAGACAAAAACAATCTGTACCAAATGCTCTGTTCCCCATGACCCCTGTTCTCTTATCATTCCCCAGTTCTAGACCTAGAAATCCTTATTGGATGGTGCCCTCTTGGGGCCAAGAACTAAGAGACCTACCCAGACCAGTGGGCCTGGTTGAGGCCACACTGGGTTTGCCAGATGTGCAGCCAGAGTTAAGCTGCATGAAAGGGGGAAAATGCCACTGCTTGATTAAGTAAAATCCATCTGGATCCAAAGCAGAAAATCAGAGTTGGAAGGGCCCTCAGAGACCATCTGGTCCAGCCTGTTCCATTGACTAGTGAGAAAACTGGGGCCCAGATACAGGGAGCAACTTGACCAAGGTCACTCAGCAAGTGCACGGTCAAGTCTTCTGTGTTCTATTTCATTCCAGAACACCAGTTCTGGATTCCCAAGGTGGCTTCCTATTAGATCCTCTCCATGGTCAGAATGCCAGATCTAGTGCTTTGGGGCTGGCTAGGTTCCTCTCCTGTAACATGAGCAACAAAAATAAACTCAATTTAAACATATACTGTCTTCCTAGTAGATGCTAAGTGCTGGGGATGTCAAGATTAGGACCTTTTTTTTGTTTGTTTGTTTTTAAATAAAAAGAAACAGAATCAGAGTGCCCTTGTTAAATTCTACTAAGCCCCCAAGAGTCCCACACTATTCCCCTATTCCCCAACCAGGAAGTATGGTCAGGTCAGTTCTCACCCATCCCTTAACTTGCTACCACACACATCTCATCATATTGTATCACAGGACATTGCCCATCTCAGAAACCTGGATATCAAAGGAGAAAAAGAAAACAAGCCAGGTGCAGTAGTGCAGGCTGGTAATCCCAGCAACCTGGGAGGCTGAGGCAGGGGGATTGCAAGTCAGCCTCAGCAACTTAGCAAGGCCCCGTCTCAAAACACATAATAAAAAGAGTTGAGGATGTAGCTTAGTGGTAAAGTGCTCCTGGATTCAATCCCCAGTATGGAAAACAAAACAACACAACACAGTCTAATGTGTGAATGGCCCAACCCCTGCCTCTAGGAGTGGACCTGAAGCCTGGTAGTCAAAGGCCTGAAGAAGGAAGTCCCGTGTGTTTCTCTCTAAGGATTTGGGACCGGGAGTAGACAGATGCTCCTTCCCACCCACCCTGAGGCCCCTCTGGCTTCCAGATTTAGGCTTCTCACCCCAAGCCAACGTCTATACCAACTGGCGGTATGGACCTGACTTGAAAATTTGGCTGGCCACTGTGGACAGAGTCTGGCCAGAGCTGGGTCCAGTCACCCCAGGCTGGCTCCCTGCAAAAGTGTTCTTATAGCACAGCCACCACCCAGGCTGCAGCTAAAGGAGGGAAGAACTGCAATTGTCCACAGGAGATAAAAACTCTCGATACCATCTCTATTTCCCTTCTAATATCAGAACGGCCGCATACAAGATGAGTGAGGGGCAGGGCTGGCAATCAATAGCTAATATTCCTGTTGTGGGCTGGCCTGCTCCGGAAATGGGCTGCCACTACCTCCTTCCACAGAGATACCCTTTCCCCTCCGCAGGGACCCAGCTCAAATGGTCAGTACCTTGGCAAGGAAGGACCATGCCAAGTACTTGGCCTACCCAATTCCCATTTCATCTGACTGATGGAGAGGTGATACTAGAGAATCAAAGAAAAGAATCACCCAGAGAGACCCAGGAAACAGAGAGGCTAGGGCTTATGGCTTCCTACTGGATGTCCCAGCCAGTCTGTACAGTTCACCCTGGATAAGGGAACAGAAATGACCTCAAGTCAAGAGGGCTACCTCTGTACAATGGTGACTAGTGGTGGCTAAATAAGGACAGGAATCAGACTGGGTTTTCTGACCACACACCCCCAAGCGTCACAGGGGAGGATCTGAGAAGTATGTCTGGAATTAGGCCTTAACCCTGAACAAGTATACCAAAGCAGGAAGTTGGAAACTGCTCACAAGTCAGGCAGACTTGTTCCTTGTCCTAGACTCGGGCCAAAAGAGAAGTTGATGGCCTAGATAAAAAACAAAAAACACAATTGGCTACTGTCCACTTCTTCCCACAGCACTGACCCACAGCACACCCCAGATACCAGCAAGCAGTCTCTAAAAGGATGCACAGGGGTGGAATGTGGTGCCTGGATGGGCTCCGTGCACTAGGCTGGAAGTCACACCTGCCCTGAATGAAAGGTATCCCTGGTATCAAGGGTGAGGACATGCAAGCTGGGAGAGAAGACCGGTGGGAAAGGCTACCAGGTGGGTGTGGAATACCCATCTGTAGTGGCAAGGAAGATGGCTGCCCTTGGTGTGGGTCAACCCACTGACAGCAACCCCTGGGGTTTTCCTTCTGGGGAAGAGCAGCAGCTGATCTTGCTCCTGCCTTTCTTGGGACCATGGTTTTCCAGGGGATTTAAGGTCTTTCTCTTGGCCTTTTGTCTACATTATCTAAAGCCGCACTCCAAGCCAAGAGCCTAGCAAGTCCTGGTCTAACCTGGAGCCTTACACACCTTGAGACTGCTAGGGCGGAGCCCGTCTCCAAGAGTCAGATATAGTCTTAGTTCTGGCAGAATGCTGGGAATGCATACGGGTAGGTATATGGCCATCTGATGCCCTGAGCTGCCAACCCTGCATCCCTTTCTTTCCTCTCACCACCATTTTGATGGTGGACCTGCTGTTTCTATTTTAGGGCAACACCCACATTTCACTGATGTAATTCTTGACTAGTGAGCAATGTGTCCTGATCACCCTATCTTGGGAGTTAAAATCAAACACAATGTGAAATCTTTCAGTGCAGAAGCGCCTTCCAGGGTCTCCCTCACATGGGAGAAGCCCCTGAAACCCCCAAAGGCATTTGTCACTCCTGTGCCGGGGAGGCCCTTGCCTCTCAGGGCAGCCTCTCTTGCTGCTGGATGTCCATGGGCACAAATTCTGGATTAAACCAGGCACAAGACTCCCGGGACTTTGCTTCTCTGCTCTAGTTTTGAATCCCTTGGCTTCACAGAAAAAAATCTTGGCCCTCTTCTCTACACAACTGCTCTTTCTGTATTCTTCCTCTTCTTCTTTTAATTGTGAGGCAAGGTTTTACTAAATTGCCCAGGTTGAGCTAAAACTTCAAATTCTCCTGCCTCAACCCTCCCAGCTACTTTGGATAACGTGCTTGCACCACTGAGCCTGGTGGCTTTCTGTGTTCTTCCTTGGGAACACCAACCCTTCAGAAGGTGTGGAGAGTCAGGTGCATTCTCTAAACTCTGTCCCGGATAGTCTTGAACAAACGAGCGATGTCCCAATCAAGAGGTTCATCATCAAGTTCCTCACAGCCCTGCACACTGATACCTCTCCCAGTCTCAAATGTGGCTTAAGTGGAATGAGCTGCCAGTAGGGAAGGGAGGGATGGAGGGGGGGTGTAGCCACACCCAACCTCAACAAAACAGAAAGCCTGATTTCACACACACACCCTGCCAAAAAGCCCAACAAGGTGTCATGGAGAAAGCCAGCTCCTGCCCCACATGGGATCTGTTCCTGCCTGTGGCGGGCAGAGCGCTGGCACAGATGCTCACGGGGCGCCGTCTGTGATCACACTCGGAAAGAATCAAGCGGTTAACCAGAGGGAAGGGATTCTGAGACCTGCCAGGATGGTGGGATTTTTTTTTCTTTTTTTTAAGATTACGCCTAAGGTTTGTAGTTTGGACAGGCGAAGTAAACAATGACAATGACAGCAGCAACAAAACAGAAACAAAGAACAGTTTACTCTTAAAAAAAAAAAAAAAGAAAGAAAGAAAGAAAAAGAAAAAAAGCCTTTTGTTACAAGAAAGCTCCACACTGGCTTGGAAGCAGCCTTGCGGCGTTGTCTGCCAAGCCAGAGTGAAGAAGCGCATACGATGCAGGAGGTGTCCGGTCGCCACCCCTTTCCCCCCTTCTCAGCTTTTGGAAGGGGTAGAGAAAGCAATGGGAAGGGAAGGATTTCAACCAGCACAGAGCAACTGTATTTAGACCATGGCAAACTGAGCTGTGCTTATTTTCTCCTCTCCCCGAAGCCCTGCCCACCTACCCCAGAACAGTGTGACAGGACACAAGACCCGCAGCCCAGCACATACCTGAAAGAAACCCGGTGGGATGGGGCCTCCAGGCATCCCATCATTGGGAGGAATGTTGCCAAGCACAGGGCTCGGGGCAGCTGCTGCACTCTGTGGAGAGACGAGGTAGCGGTCAGTGGCCAAACCTCCAACCAGATAGGGCTCCAGCCCCCACCCCACCCACAATCTTCCCCCACAGACCCTCCCCAAAGGCCACCTTCCTCATTAAGCCTTTCTAGCCCTGCCCCAGCTAAGCAGCATCCCACCAGTGATACGGCACGGGTATAGGATTGATGATCAGACCTCGCCCCACTTCCCAGCTGTTACTCATTGGGCAGGCAACGAACTCTTCAGTCTCCACTGCCTCATCTTTAAAATGGAAGCACAGTGCCCACCACTTTGGGATGCCATCACCATGGCAAGAGATGAAGCCAAAGGTACATCCTGTAGTGTCTGGCAGAGCAGTTTTAAGTGACCAACATGTTATGACTTTTATTGACATTATGAGATCGGTGCCTTATCCACCTGCTGTTCTAAAAAGCTCTCTGAGGGTAGGTGAAGTGATTTATAAATTTTGGTGTGTTCTTGGCCCCTGCAGGGTCCTGGGTGTCATTACTTTTCTCTTTAAATGCTGCTATTCTGGCATCCACCTGGTACATCTGCCTCAACAAATGCCTCCCAGGGGTGAGCAGACGTCACTCTCCCTGCTTGGCCTCTTTCCAACAATCTGTATCCAACCTGTTCGTGCAGCCAGCATGTCTGTGCCTGGCTCTGCTCACACAGGCAGGGCTGAGGCTGCAACGCCCAAGCCCCGGCCTCAAGGAAGTCACAGGCCTGATTGTACTGCCTGGCCCATTCCCTGCTCCTCCCATTGATTCCAAACCTCCAGCTGCTCCTCTTGTAGAAGTCCACCTCCAAATAACCTTGGTGGTCCCCAAACTCCATCATGACTGAGGACCCTCCCAGGGTCCAGACTACTCTCTGGGGTAGAAGTGAGCACCTCAGGGGTAAAGAAACAGGGGGCCTCTTTCCGCCTCATAAATACAACCTCCTTCTCATCACTACCTTGAAGCAATCACTTTTCCTTCCCTTTTCTCATCCATAAAAGGAACCAGAGCCCTTAGCTTTCGGAAGGGAGGAAATGAAGGCTCCTATTAAAACGGAGCATGCAAACAAACAATTTCACCAAGAACTGACACCTGGTCTCCAATACTGTCATCTGGACTAAGAAAGTGGACCACAGGCAAGTCACTCGGTCTTTCTGAATCTCTCTTCTGTAAAAAGTAGGGTAGCCGCTGGGCACCATGGTGAGCAACTATAATCTCAGAGGCTTGGGAGACTGAGGCTGGAGGATCATGAGTTCAAAGGCAACTTCAGCAACTCAGTGAGGCGCTAAGCAATTCATGAGATCCTATCTCTAAATAAAATATTTAAAAAAAAGGGCTGGGGATGCGGCTCAGCAGTTAAGTACCCCTGGGTTCAATCCCTGGTACAAAAAAAAAAAAAAGTGGGGTAGCCATTGTTCTACCTTTGCAACAGGGTTGCAAAAGACTGAGAGAGGGGGCTGGCTGTGTTCTATAAGCTGGGAAGCTCTGACTATGGGAAGGAGGGACCCAGTATGGGTATGCAGTCGTGCTAGAGATCTAGGTCTCCTTCCCTAGATCTACACCCACATGGGGAGTCTGCTGGGTTATCCATTAGATACATTATTGTCTGAGGTTAATGGTTCCGTAAAAATATAACTTGGTGATTAGCACCAAAAATTAGTCCTCTGTAGCAGAAACAAATTTTTTTTTTTTTAAATAAGGGTGAGATAAACATTCATCTGTTTTCTTTCAGAGACTGATGTTAACATTTAGCTCTTTAATCCTTCATAGAGGTATCATTATTTAACCAATTTAATAAGAGACACTAAATCATTCTTTTTTTTTTTTTTTTAAAGAAAGAGAGAGAGAGAGAGAGAATTTTTTTAATATTTATTTTTTAGTTTTCGGCAGACACAACATCTTTGTTTGTATGTGGTGCTGAGGATCGAACCTGGGCCGCACGCATGCCAGGCGAGCATGCTATCGCTTGAGCCACATCCCCAGCCCCTAAATCATTATTTTCTAGCTTGGTAGTTAGTATCTACTTGTATTTGGTAATCTAACTCATCTTTTTAATTGTTACCCTTCACTCACTTTTTTTTTTTTTTTTTTTTTTGAGGCACTGAGGATTGAACTCAGGGCCTCCCACATGCTAGACAAGCCCTCTAGCACTGTACTACATCCCCAACCCTTTTTAAAAATTTTGAGTCAGGGTCTCACTGAATTGCCCAGGCTGGCTTCAAGCTTGTGATCCTTCTGACTCAGCCTCCTGAGTAGCCGCGATCACATGCACGAGTAAGCCACCACACTCGCCGACCACTGCTTCTTACACTAGACATCTGTAGATCTACTTTTACAGTGAGACAGTCATGTCCTTTGTTACTTAGGAATTTGACCATTTACGTATCAAAGTACAGGATAAGAGCATGTTACAAATTTAAAAACAACGACCTAAATGAAGCGTGAGCCCGTTCAAGCACTGATGCATTACTTATGAGGATCCTTCACTCTAAGAGGTGGTTTTCCTATGCAATTAGCAGTAGGAACTGTGGGTGAGTGGGAGGGAGGTCTTTGTTTCTTTGAACGTAATGATCAAGGTAACCATGGTCTTAGTAAAGAGATGGAGTAATTCTCTGAAACCTAGGATGGAGGATAAGTTTTGCTACCCTTCAGTTACACTAGTAACGTCCAAGGGGGCAGAAGCCGAGGAGATGACTTTTATCATTTAACACCTTCTCAGGCAGCAAAACCTAAGCAGACCTCTGTGGACTCTAACTTTGTGCCCTGGGTTATGGATTATTGCTGTTCCCCTCTGACTATGAAGCAAACATACTACCAAAAGAAAACTTCCAAAAGGCCAGAAAAGCAGCAACTGGTATGTTGGGAGACAAAATCCAATCTCAGGGACACCACCCTCTTGTGGTTTAACAGCAGGGGCTGTTTTACCCATCTGCAAGACCCACCAATATATGAAGCATACAGCAAGTGTTCAATAAATGATTACAACTTGTATTATTCAAAGACCTGCTCACGCCTGACCATCTGGAGCCAGGCCTTCCTGGATTGCTAGGAATCAGCCTCTCCCTGCGGTTTCCAGCTTTGGGTTAGAGCTCCATTAAGGCACTCAGCAAAGCGCCTCGTGAGTTTTCTTTAAAAACACAAAACCCAAGCCCAAACCCAAACCCCTTGACATTCACAGAGGTCTATGGCATGCCAGGGCTGCGGTAGGTGCACAGAATGGAACTTCCCCACTGAAGTTAGAAGAAAGAACACTAGATTCAGAGGCTAGACACCTCACGCATGGGCTCAGGTCTTGGGTGAGAACATGCAGAAAAGTCCCTTCTCACATGGGGACAGTTTCCCCATGTGTGCAGTGATGGATTAGAAAAGGGGACCACTAAGGACCTTCATCCAGGGGCCCAGGCTCTGCCCAGCCCAACCCACACACGCAGGGAATGGGGACTGGAAAGAGCAGTTCTTGCAGGAACAGAAAGGCAGTCCTCTTTCCACAGGACCCTGAATTCCAACTCATCCCTGTTCTTTACAAAACATTTAACGAAAAAAAGATTAAAAAGCACACAGAGCCTGCAGGTACCAGTGGCTGACATTTGGGCCCCAACTACAGGCCTTTCACCCCAACAGTTATCCATATATGTGTACACACATGGACTTAAAAAGAAAGCAGAATCAAACCAGGTGTGTAGTTAGGTAATGTGTCATCTTTCTCCCCAGGGTCTGGGATCGAACCTAGGGCCTCATCCATGTCAGGCGAGAGCTTTACCACAAGGCGACATCCCCAGCGTGACTTGCACGGCTTTTATAAAAATGATGTAAAGGTCTTTCACAGGGTGATGTGGCCCTGTGGGGCCAGCTGCTTCCTTTAAGCCTGGGGTATCCAGTCTAAAAAGCTGGAGGAACCCTCCAAGGACTGCCTGAGGCTCTCTCTACAAGGAAGTTTTGTTCCTGGCCAGGGAGGCTTCAGAGGAGAGCTTATCCTGTAAGTTTCCCTTAAAAGACTGGGTGTCATCAGGCACAGTGGGGCATCCCTGTAATCCCAGCAACTCAGGAGGCTAAGGCAGAAGGATCACAAGTTCAAGGGCAGCCTCAGCAACTTAGTGACACCCTGTCTCAAAATATGAATAAAAAGGGTTGGGGACGTAGCTTAGTGGTAAAGCACCACTGGGTTCAGTCCATAGTACCCAAAAGAAAAAAAGACTGGGTGTCACAGGGTGGGATCACAACCATTGGGACTAGGGGTTCCCTTGAGTCCTTCCCCTCCACCTCTGTGCCCAACGAAACCCACACCACTGTCACTTCAGGCATCCTCTGCTATCGACAGCTGTTGGGCTTTCCACAGGCAGGAGACCCTGGAACACCACACCATAGACCTACCCAAGGAGAAGGATGTTCACCCCCTACCTGCCCTGTTCACGTAGAGGAGCAGAATTCAAACCTGGGGCCAAGTGACTAGAAGGGGCTGTGAAGTCAGGCTAAGAAAGGACTTTTAGTTTTAACAGTAGGAATGATTTCTAAGTAGAAGGACCTTGGACCTAGGAGAACCCCACCTTGTCCCACCTCACTTTGTGCCAAGCATATTGACACCCTGATGACACAACCTACCCAACACCACCAGAACATGGACCCGACAGTCATGTGCCCAGGAGCCTCTCTGCATCCTAGGAGGAACTCCTTGCAGCGGTGGCTACATTCGTATCTCAAGGGCTGGGGACGTTCCCTACAAGATTATTTTCTGACCGCACCCCAGGAGCCCCAGTTATCTTCATTACAAATTACCATAGATCTCCCCATCCCTTTTTTACTCTTTCAAAAATAGTTCTAAGTCAGGCATGGTGGCGTAAGCCTGTAATCCCAGCAACTCTAGAGGCTGAGGCAGGAGGATCAGCCTCTAGAGGCCAGCTTGGTAAAGTGCCTCTGGGTTTAATCCCCAGTGCTGCAAAAACAAACAAACAAACAAATACAGATTAAAATAAAAATAGTTCTGCATATGAATAAAAACAAATGCTC